ATATATACATTCCATGTTTACATCACAATCAGTGATTCCAAAGCCAGCTGCAGTTTTAACTCCACGTCAGAATGACTTTCATATAAATCAATACATTATTGACATAGCTATTTATTTTCATTCTTATATCAAACGACCTTATGCGGAAAAGCTGGAATAAATCGGTGAAACATAAAATTAAAAAAGAGTGGTCTAAGATTCATTCACAAAGACTATAGTGTTAAACAAGTTGATGAATAAAGACATATTTCTTGAAGTACAAATATATACAAGTTGACAAGTATGTATGATAAACTTATTGAAACTATGTTGAAATTGTGAAATGCAAAAGTGGTTGAAACTATCTATAGGACAATGTAGCTGCTGAGATGGTGATGGGCTGGAGGTGTCTGGTTCCCTAGGAACAGAGGAAGCTGTCTTTTCCCAGGTCAGGCAGACTCCGCAGCAATAAGCTGATAAGAAGCTTACTGAAGAAGCTCAAAATTTGTGGTATAGTGAAGGGGTACCTGTTTCCTGTGTTATAGTGAAGGGAGCTTAAAATCCTGTGTTGTGGCAGGAAACCCTGTCTACCATTTTGTACTTTAATTTCTTTGTATTTTCATAAGTAGTTACCATTGTGGCAAAATTACTTTGCCAGTCTAAGAAAATATATCATACCACTAGAAGTTTGAAGAAAGTTAGTGAGCAGTCTTATGTCATAGCAGTATTCAGTGACATAGGGAACTAAAGATATCACCTTCTGGCAATCTCAGCGATATCTTTACAAACAATTACAGACAGTTTGCCAAGACAGATTGATAGATGTGGATGTAATCAGACGTAACAACACAGAATGAAATTATAGTTGATAATTCAGAAACAGTTTTAATTTTCAGGAGTGAACCAGTGATTAGTTTCAGCAACACATATCTTAACATCACGGCAAAGGGATGCAACAATTATCTGTGGCCATGTTGCTGCTCCACCTTCTGAGGGGAGTGTTAATTCATGCAACTGACATGAATTGGGGTCAACTAATCAGCACATGTACTGTTGTGATAACAGGATAATTATATCTATGTTGTTTGATTCACCGCTGATGGTGACAGACCTGTTTGTTACTCATGTAAGAAAATAATCATGATTGGTCGCAAATCCGCTGTATGTACTATTTGGAGATTGCCACTATGCTCAACATGCTGTGTTGGTCCTTCATGATTTGCATACTTGCCCCGAAACATGTATATTCCAAGTCGCCAGCGTGCATGAAAGGCTCAGGGAAGACTTTAAACTTTTAATTTCTTTAAATATTGCAATGGCTGAAAGAGATCAGACTACTGGCGTCTCATGGTAAACATATACATCGTGGACATTACCATTTGGGTGAAACCCACAAGCACTGGGATGGTGCTCCTCACATGGAATGGAAGAAGTGCATAGATAGCTGTAAAGCATGACATCACGACTCAAAATTATATTGTTTGTTTGTTTAACTCCACACTAGCAATATTCCAGCTATATGACGGCAGTCTGTAAATAATTGAGTCTGGACCAGACAATCCAGTGATTGACATCATGAGCATCGATCCAGTTGGGATACGATGACATGCATCAACCAAGTCAGAGAGCTTGACCACCCGGTCCCATTAGTCGCCTCTTACGACAAGCATAGTCACCTTTTAGGGCAAGCATGGGTTGCTAAAGACCTATTCTACCCTAAAGACCTATTGCATGTATTGTAAATACCTCAGTAAGGTAAAAATTGCATATTCATATTTGTTTGTTTGTTGTTTTGTGCTGCAGTCAGCATTCTTCCAGCAATGTCCAACTAGCCTGTACATAATGGTGCCGGTTGATATAATGAGGAACATCTCACACTATCAGGGCATGACACAAAATCAGCTAAGTCACTGAGTCTAACCACTAGATTCAATTTAGTTGCTTCTTACAAGGAATAAAGTGCTGAGGCTATTTTATCACAAGTTTCCATGCAATGCAAATTAATATATATAAATGCTGGAGATGCTAAAAGAAGGATTTCCAAGATAATAAGGGGGGGTCGGGTAGCCTAGTGGCTAAAGCGTTCGCTCGTCATGCCGAAGATCCGGGTTCGATTGCCAACATGGGTACAATGTGTGGAGCCCATTTCTGGTGTCCCCCGCCATGATATTGCTGGAATATTGCTAAAAGCAGCGTAAAACCATACTCACTCACTCACTCCAAGAAAATAATAGTGAGAACTGGTTCAAGAAGGTTGTATTGATACATGTCCCATAAGAGAAACTATATTCTATTGATATAACATCCATTATGAAAAACGATTTGATGGAACTATTTACTGATAAATTTATACTATGATCAGGAACCCCCCTCATCAGGCTCATGTTGTGCGAGATCAAGAGATATTTTCCTATAACTGGAGCACTGTATATATAACAGACTTAAGGATTGTTGTATTTGAAGGTGAGTGAGTAAAAAGGGTTAGCACAAGAGTCAGCAGCAGTTAGATGCATCATGATGTGAGGTGAGGTGAAATTGGGTTTAACGTCACGTCCAAGATTATTGCACTTACATAGCGACGTGCATGTACGTGTATGTGTTTGTGTGGATGCTTGTACTAGTCCGGACTGATGCCGATTTATAGTGCTAGCTCACTGAGATACCATGACGCAGTTTAACATAGATACCTCACTCAGACACAGTATACTGACTCCAAGCCGACCAATCCTTGTTTTAGCCCCTTAATGCCGAGCGCCAGACAGGGTAACAACAAGTACAATCTTTTAATGACTTTTGGTATGACGCGGCAGGGGATCGAACCCCGGATCTTCCACTCTCCGGGCGGACGCTCTACCACTAGACCACGGAGGCGGTCGCATCATGATGACCTTGGCCCTGTTGCACAAAGTGATCAAAGGGCTATGACTGTCGTAAGCCTATGTTAAAGCATTGGAGTTGCTATTCCCTTAGCGCTAAGATAGCTTTGTGCAACGGGGCCCTGGAAACAAGCCTGAACCAGAGCGTGTCGTCATAGCAACAAAGACCAAGGTGTTGGGGTGGGAAGACACAAAGAAGATGAGCCTGATTAAACATAAAGTTATAAATTGGGATTTTACCATTGCTCAGAATGGTATTATGTTATGCGGATTAATTGTCTCACAGGAAATAAATGATTTGTTTTTTGTTCCATTTGTCGGCACCAGTGTCTTTTTGCTGATTCATTATCCTGCTTGGTCTTCTCCTTACAGCCTGTAGAACAGACTCTAGTCAACGCAATCATTAGTAGCAACTGAGCGAGGGGCAGGGTACGTTGACACACTATCAGTCTGGTCAAACATCATGGCTAACCATTCCTCATTCTAGTCAGTACTTATCACAAATACAGGCAGTTTGGGATCTATTTTGACCTGGAATCCCCACCGGGTGGTAAATAGTGGTTAAGGAGAAGGTCCCCATCATGGGAATTCCAGATTAGAATTGGTCCCCAACCTCTGCTGGTTGTGAGAGGTGGTCCAGACCCGTTATATACAGCCCGCCATCATATAGTTGAAAATCTGAAGAGTGTGTCTTTAGTTTTAACTTTTTCGGTCTTGATAACCTTAAAAAAAGGTCAGTTTTAACTCTTCATGGTCATGATGGGACGGTGGGAATAGTTATCATCTTCATAATTCATAATCATCATTATTCATCATGACGTGACACATTAATTTTCAGACCTAAAATACTTGTAAATAGTAAATGTGCCTTATTTTGTTTGTTTGTGTTTTATACCAGTCAGAAATTTTAAGGGCCAGGTTGATAGCATGGTAATCCTCCCTGCCATTACACCGAAGTTAGCTCAGTCACAGAGCCTGGTCACAACATGCCCATATAAGGAGGCTCTGGCCAGGAGGATGAGACACCGGTTGTATACTGTCTGGCATCAAACAGGAAGTAAATATGCGATGATCTGAGAATCAGAAATAATTCTTAGTCTTACTCCAGATCTGAACCTTACCATGCGTACATATATACTTCCTATACCATTTACTATTCTGCAACATCCTTCCTTGGAGACATGCAAGAAGGGGGGAAAAACAAGAAAAACAAGAAATTTGATTATGGTAGATAAACTAAATAGCCCTACCTCATGGTGACTTATGATGATAATAATAGTGTATTGTTGAAACACATCGGTGAAGGGCGGAACCACCAACACTAGGTATCTGATGTGTTAGCAAATCATGAATATCTGAGTAACTTACGGCACATTCAGCCTGTTCACACTATAACGAGGGGACACCTGTCAATAGTTAAGGGCCCATGTCCTTATAATGAGCCATATCAGAGATGGCAGTCCACAGCATCAGCCAGAAGAATTAAGCTTCCTGGTCAGTAGATTCATATTTTTTTCTGGATATTGTGAAAAATCTGTTTACAATGGTTTAAAGAAAGTAATATATGATTAAAATTTGAATATTTTGTTGATTTTTTTCAAAAGTATCACTAAATTAACTCTAAATACACTTGCTGAAACAACACACTTTTAAAGATCGAAACAAGAGCAAATGATTATTTTTTCAATTTGGTTCCGTATGCAAATACACTGTCTCTTATCAATTTTGATTATTATGTAGTAGCAATATATGAACAAGTATATATAACTGTGTTCCAAATGAAGTGTCCCTGTTTGCATATGAAGTGTATTTACACGCTGTTCTCGTCTGTTGTTACGCTGTCAACAACGAACTATCGCTCACAAACACATTCAATGTGAAGACCAATCACTGTACATTAGTCTAATCAAATGCTGATATATTGATGCTCATCTTGATGACATTTCGCCCATCACTCCGTAGCTGTTCTAAACATCGCGTTATAACGGGACAGTAAACATGACAGGTTTGTCTAGGCTCAAGACAAGGACCATGTGAAGTTGGACGTTGTGCAGAACCGCACTACTACCAAAATACACAGTTTTGCAAAATAATAAATGGTTTGTCCGATTTGTGATGTCGTTCGAAATGGACAAGTTAACGTACCTACCTGTTAGATTTCCTTTCTAAGGACACAAGCATGGGAGTTGTCCGTTTGGCCAGGTAAAACAATCCTCTTCTCCAAATGTGTCGACGGATCAACTCTATGACACAATCCAGGTATCCGAGATAAAGGTGTGAACAGGTGCTTATTGTCTATCGCGTATGCGAGTGTTGTTATAGCATCAAACACGACTTACACTACTTCAAAAGCACCGGACTGACATCGTTACCGACCTTCCTCAATCTACCTGTTCAGGTGAGATATTACTCTCCTCGCGACGGCTTGACATCAAATGACAGGCCGTCAGATGAACTTTCATTAATCTTCTTACCCCCGTCATTTCCCCGGACAACGATTACAAGTTCACAGGTCGTGTATATTTAAAACAGTTAATCAAAATTATTGTATATATAGCAACTGATTATTTTTATCATTTTTGTCTGGTAACTTGTGTCACAAAACGACGAAAGGGGATCCGAGTGCAAATTATTTTGGCTACAGGAATGTGTGACTTACGTTTTGGTCGAAGTAACTTTATAAGTATTTTTTTCGCGAAACGCTTCATCCTATTCAAGGATTATATATAACTACATCAATCAACTTGCAGTTTTGTTGAACTGCCCCAAAAGATTCATGGTTGAATACGGGTAAACATCGATCAACTTGTGATAACTCTGATAGGCTCGTGAGTAGTGTTTTCTTGGGCCAAGCCTAAGCATCAATGTAACCGCAGCCATGCCATGAGTATACACATATTCTGAAAGAAACGGAAACAGAATACCTTCATTTGTGACATGCATACTTTAATAAACAATCTGTTTGTCTGTTTAGAGACTCGCCAGAACCAAAATTTGGTCGCAGCATGAATTTGACCGTAAACAAATGTAAACGTAAATTTTAGACACGTTTCATTGTATACTAAGTTTGATTTCTATCCTACAAAATGCAACTATTTATTTGCTTTGGTTTCCTTATAAGAAGATGGTATGTTTAAAACAGCGGTATCCCCATAAACCGATGCCATATTTAACTAACATTTAGTCCAAGAAATAAAGTTAATCTCATTTAAAAATACAGTGTATCCACAAAATGAAACGTAAACTTCAAATGGAGCCCAGAACAATGCTTAATTTCAGGGTTCAGCTGAAGTAATCTAGACTTGAAGTAATCTAGACTTGAAGTAATCTAGACTTGAGTTGGATTCATTTTTTAACATTGTCTGTATAAACAGACTTAAACATGTTTCATGTGTTTCTTCGGACGTTCAAAACAGCATTATTGAAGCATGTTTCACTGGGGAAATTGATATCTAGATGATGATGGGTGAGACAGAAGCTCATGGGACTTACGTGGCCAGCTCCTTATACACTTAGACTATGAAGATAATAACCAATGACACCAAGATTTGTATAAAAGATTGCTATGAAATACATGACATGGGTTACAACATATCGTTAAAAATGCCCATTGAAAAGCATCAACATCAGACATCATATATGTCTTCAACTGATGAAGGAGTTAGCACATACCCCGAAACGTTGTGTTGCTCATAATAAAGACGTTGTCAATGAATTCTCTTCCTTTATGTGTATCATTTTAAAATCCCTTTCAAACACTTGATCAGAAATCATATAGCATTCACGACTATAAACTGTTGTTATACAATGCACATGGAGACGAACATATACAATCGCCTTGTCGTACCACAGCAGGCATATAGTGGTTCATAATCTTAATCACGATAGCCGACTATACACTGCAATCGGTTGTTTAAAAAAGAATGTGTAAATGACTTCGTACCCCGAAGACATAGGTCATTTTTTAATCCGCATGCAGTGACTGACTTGCTTGGGCCCGATTGGATAACTGCCTGTTCGCTGTGGTGCATCTGCAGTATGACTATGACGTAAACGAGAAGCACCACCCACTCTCTCATTCATCTATATTGCATGTATACAGTGTTTCTGAACGTACTTGAAAATGTGGAAATGCCCAATATCGTGTTACTGAACAAATGTTGAATGAAGAGCCGGAGCTGTTATGTGCTTTACGGGCACATTACAGCCATGGTTCGCTTCTTCTGAGTTATGGCATAAAGAGAGTTAAAGTACACTGGAATGCATGTTTTCTTTGATCGCAATAAACACCTCAACACCTCCAAAACCCAGTGATGCGACGTGTATGCTTCTTGTTACTATATACATGAAATGAAAGGTCACTGTTTGAAGGTGTGGTTTCCCATTCTTTTCTATCATGGTTGGGGTTTTCAGTGTGGCAATAAAAGCCGCATACGTTCGGTAGACTTCACTGCGGTCACAATAAGCTTTTGCATGAAAGGAACTGTTGTTTTATATTTTAATTGTTGACCTCAGTCGTGTGTTATGTGTGAACAAAGGCGTGAAGCTGGCAAGCCATTGCATATTTTCCGGTCAGCCTTGCGTTAGAAAAATGTATGGTATTTTCAGGTCGGTGGTTTCAGATACTTCTCGCAAATCTTTATCAGACCAAATCTATTGTCTGTCTCTTGAAATGTTTCTGCTGTTGTACTAAACTAAATACAATCGCGTTCAATCACACGTCATGTGTAAGTGTGTTGTCAAACGCACTCAGCAATGTGTCATATAGCATGGCTATAAATCATGACGTCGGCATGTAAATAATTAAGTATGGACCAAACAATCCAGTGATTGTTATGAAAAACAATGATCCGGTACGTTGACAGCACCATCAACCAAGTCACCGAGCCTGAACAACCGATACATTTAGTCGCCCCTTACGACCAGCAAAGGTTGGTGGATAGCCTAGCTCATAGGCTGTACTGAAAGAAAAGTCCATGGATGTGTAATAATTCTATCCTCCTAATAGGCAAGTCTAGATATGTGGACAATACTAAGGACTCCAGTCTCTTATAGGGACAACTTGATCTTATTATGTACATAATCTAGAACTTATTATTAAAACTAATAATTATTGCCTTATAGCCTTGTGCAAGTCTAGTTGGCGGGTACCAATTCAGACCCGACATCCCCATACACGGATTACGTTATTGTTTATTATTACCAACATCACAAGTCAGGGTGTTACTGGAGTCGGTAATCGGCGGTCTACATGTACTGTCAAGAATAAAACCACTTTTGCTACACCTTGTAGGGTTGCCCGAGGGCCTTTCTCTCTATGCAGCGCGACCCTCAATATATCTATTGACATAGTATAGTCGTATATGCATTGACTGGGGTATTGACGGCTGTATAGGCATGTATTCCAAATATGACATATCTGAGATGTCAACATGTTATAAAGCAAGCGACAAGACAGAATGTATTGATATTTTTATACACTGGTGTAATGTTTGCACGCATATGTACATATATTAATGTACATGTATACTCACCGCCAAAAGAAACGCGAACCATAGAAACATATAGAAGAGCTGTTTCCAATGCGTACCACTTAATGACAAAACTAACACCCAGCCAAGTGTTACCTCAGAGTGTCCTTATTCTTATCACGAATGCTGCACGTGATTTCCAAATTCTACACGCTAATCCTGCACAAGACAAATGTAGCATCTCAAGTCATGGATCTATGACGTCACCTGTGATGCGTTCATACGCGTCGGTTCACGCAACATAACACTATATTTCGTTTGTGTATCAAACCAATCTTATATCTATTGAATATGAGTAAGTCTTCATTTATCAACCAACACGTATGGTTTTCGCTTTTCTTTCAACGGTAAGTATATATATGATATATATGCATGTATACATGATAATATTAAGCATACCAAAGTCATACATACTCAACGTTGCTAACCCATGCACCAAAATCTTTCACTGCGAAGGGAAATAGGACCAGGAGAAATGACGGAATATTTTTCAGAACCATGAGAACTAGTTATCATAAAGGTGTCCGATTGCCAGATATGACCTGATGACGATCGTCCATATCTAAGCTCCAACCCGTCTACACTCTGTATTCAACTGAGCATTGCCTTCCTTTCACATTAAGCTGCCCCGACGTGATATAACCGAAATACTGTTAAAAGCGGCCTTAAATTCATCCACTCACTCTTAAAGTACAGGCATGAAAATGGCATCTTTGGTAACTGAGGAAGCTGTTCAAAGGTCGGGTAAATTCCTGAAGTTTACCAGTGGGGTCCCATCAATAAAATAAACTTGTTCAAGGGCTTTCCAGCTGAAGTAAAATTACATCACTCTATTTTTACTCTGAAAGTGAACAGCATCATTAGACAACGTAAAACGACATGAAAGGTCGTGCCAGTTCAAAAGCCATCTTTGCTGTGTTAGTGTTAATAACATTACTGGTTTTCTTTCTGTTAATGTCAAGATTTTCACACTTAAATTTTTGTTTTTGTTTATTTTATTTTTCATTTCTATGGGGGTTGGTTGAGGGTAGGTCTCAAAACTTAAAGAATTGTATCCGACATATAACTTCTTCCTTACGTATACATTATTTTTCACTAGTCCCCGGACACTTGTGATAAGAAATATCAACTTGACCAAATGACAGCAACACTGATATGAAAAATCGATAATCGAGGTGAATAAAAAACGCAAAACATGCATATCATCATACTTTAAACATATTTCACCCTGGTAAATAGACTGACAATTGCAAAACCAAAAGCTATAGGCAGTTAGATGCGAAGTGGTTTAACGACGTTCGATGACCGCCACGCCAACACAAAATGAAACATAAGACCAGTGGTAGGGAAAATACTGTCTCCATAGCGCATGCCCTACAGTTCAGGTAAATAACGTCCACTTTCGCGTGTGTGCAACAGGTGTAGAACAGAGTGTGTGTGTGTGCGGTTATGTGATACCACCCATTAATATACAATTCAACGTATGCCAAACAATATAACACAACCCACACGAACTTTTATTTCTAGCTGAACTAGACACTAATTGTACGCACGCTATATAACACACTGCTTCGCATGCATGATTGCAGGACCGGTAGGGGGGCTTCACGCCCTGTACACGAGTAGAGAAACACATATGACTGACATCACCAACTGACTTTGAAGAGCTTCGTTCTACTGAAAAGATCTTAGCATTATTATACAGATATCTCTCTGATGTACACCTGGTACGAAGAAGCCTGTGTTAAAACTGCCTAATTACCCACATATTCTTCCCAAACCACCTAAACTAGCGCGTCTATCTGAATCTTTTATTACACTATACATTTCTCTCTTCTAAAAAAATTTCTGATGTTGATTTCATGTGGAATACAGCTGGAATATGTAAATATTCCAGTCATTGTGCAGGACTAGTAACCAGATTCAATGTATTACTGAAACAGTTATATCGACATTCAGTATATATATATAGAGAGAGAGAGAGAGAGAGAGAGAGAGAGAGAGAGAGAGAGAGAGAGAGAGAGAGAGAGAGAGAGAGAGAGAGAGAGAGAGAGAGAGAGAGAGAGAGAGAGAGAGATATGGGTAACGATATATAGATAGATAGATATGTAAATTAGAATGATAGCGAGAACTTCTGGAAATCAATTACGATACATTTATTTTTTATATTTTAATTGAATATAGTTCGTAGATGCTCGTGTGCTCATAAACTGTGGTTTATAGGAGCTATGCATACGATCTGGTGGATAATATGTTGTGAGCGCGGCAATATAATGTTAAACACTGTGTGACGTACGGCTGGTGATATATTGCTGTATGTAATTTCAGCACTTGATAACGATTACATTCCACAAATATTATACGCCATCTGCTTGTTCAAATCATCTAATTTCAAACAAACGTAACTGTATAGCTTCGTGTTATCCATGCATTGTACAGCGCTTCAACCAAAATAATGATTCAATATACTCATTACTTTCATATATTCAATCAGATGTCTCCGCGGTGTACATGTATTGTGCACGTCTTTAAGCTAACACAGCTGCTCTATATTTTTTCTCACCTCATATATTGTCTATTCTTAAGAGTGTTAATGAGGACCCAGTGGGAATGGCTGGTCGGAATCGGTCTCCAGCATCATATACTGATCGTATGAGATGCGACTCAACGGATCGGGTGGGCAGGCTCGGTGACTTGATTGAAAGTCAGACATCGTACCCCGAAGGCGTTGATCGTTGCTCATGTTATCAACCACTGGATTGTCATTTGACTGGTCCAGGCGCGATTATCTATGGGCCGTTGTTCTTGAATATTGCCCATTTGCGTGGATCGATGCTCATGATCACTGGATTGTCCTGCCCAGACTCGATTATTTACAGACCGCCGTCATATAGCTGGAATATTGCTGCGTGCGGCGTAAAACAACAAACCAACCAACCAACCTTAAATATTGACCAGTGCGGCATCAACATGCGCGTATACGCATACGTTAATGAGGATAAAGCTGATGCAAGTGTTTTTAAGTCATGGCATAACATGTTTGGCTGATTGAACGATTTTGCTATTTTCTTTGTCCAAGTATGATGATATATCATCAACTACATGTTGTTATATCAACGATTACATCCAATGGTTTCTATTTCAGGGCTTTTGACCTTTTCCCGAGCTTTGGGGTCACACGGAGAAGGAAGTTGTACAGTAAACTGTTCCTGGTCAGATGATCACTATAGAAAGAGTGTAATTGTATGGTTTACTTTTCAAACAGAAAACGGCCCAAAATTATCGGTATACCACAAGAGAAAATATGGTTCCGAAGCATATCACAGTTCATTTGCTCATGTCTTCATGAAAGTTATGAAATTTGACAAATGGCGTATGGCAATGAAAGTATATGCTATTTTTACAGCCTTTCTTGAAACAATTTGACGGCACATGTGTTTATCCCACCAGGGCTTTACAGATTATCTCGAAATATGGTGAAGGGAGTATAATTTCATATATTTACATCTTGGGAAGAACGTGTCACAGGCGCAGTCCACGATGGTCGTAGGGTGGCGATTTCCAACGACAATCCCAATGTCTCCAATGTCAAAGAAGTGTATAATATACATTGCACATTAGTAACTTGATCTGTGTTCACTGCTCTTCGTAAGGATTATACTTACATCTACCAACCTCTTATATCATTGCTAATGCACAGACATATATATCTGGCTCAGCACATCTCCTTCCAGTTAACCCCGTTTACCCAGCCACAAAATAAATTTGTACATTCGGCTCAATGCAGGCGCTGAAAACGTATAAAATATTGGCAACCAGTTTGCTATAATGCCGTTACGGTCGAGCTGCTAAAGCTTGATTTTGTACCACGGGTGTTTACCCATGAATTTCTCTGTGCGAGTGTGGATACTACGGAACATTAGTTCCCCTAAGCTGTGTGCGAGGCGCTGTATACAATACTATGTCAAAAAGCCATACGTATACACGATCGCTCATGCGTATAAATTACTCTCAATATCACCGACGCTAATTCAGTAATGTGCTTTCCGTATTTGGGTCGGCAAAATCTGCAAGAGGCCGTGATTCAGTGTTCAAACCTTAAGCTGGAGAAAAATAGTACATTCAACAACAAGAGCTTTGCCAGCAAACATGCACGTGGCATATGACCCATGGTGTACTGACATCATGCAATGTAGTGGAAGTCGGCGTACGACTACAAATACATGAAAGCTTTTATAACCTGGGGGCTGGACATTCAAGGTCTAAATATAGTGTATTATTCATTTAAAATGTGAGTGGGTGAAATAATATTGTATTATGCTTCTGTCTGCAATATTCCAGCTACATAAAGCGGCCTGTAAAATAATCGAATGTGGTCCAGGCTAACCAATGGTCAATAACATGAACAACTGTGCACAACGTCGAGGTTTGAAGGCGCACATTGCAGCCATATCAAACATGTGAACCAACAGCAAGATGATCGTGTCGTCGTTGTCTTACAACGAATTGTGTACTGGGATCCATTGTGCTCCACCGTATGCCAACACTTAGAACTATTTTCTGAGCATAAAGATAATGTTATGAAGTGATTTATTTATGCATAATCTTTTTAAGGTACAAATGCAAAACAACCGTATGAAAGTTACTGCTGTTTAATGCAATTGCGACTGAACGTTATGAGCAATATTCAATATCCCCAAATAAGCCAAGAAACCAGTGGTTGAGAGCATAAGCACCCATAAAAGCCGTCGGGATACATGACAGCAATAAGCCATGATATACATCCATTCTAGTCGAAATGTTGTAGCAATCCAATCCTCATTAAAGCCACCTGCGACAAACTTGGTGCAGGGGACGAACTCCAACCGAAGTATTGTTCTGTATACATATTATGTTATTTACATGCACACTCATTAGTATGTTCCCTTCTTGAGGAAGACATAACCATCACACGGACAATTAATGCATTTGGTGAGGTGAGGTGAAGAGGGGTTTAAGGTCGCGTTTAAGTTCGTTTCATTCGTGTAGCGACGTGTGTGTGTGTGTGGCTGCTTGTATTAACTAGTCCGGACTGATGCCGGATTTTTGTGCTGGTGAACTGATATGCCATGCCGCAGCTTAACATGGATACACCACTCAGACACAGGAGCCGATCAGTCTTTGATTTATCCCGTTAATGCCCAGGGGCAGGCAGGGTAAGAACTGCGCCATGCATGACTGTGGCACACACACACACACACACACACACACACACACACATACAAACAATCTGGTTACAATCCTACGTCTGTACATACGCGTAAATACAAAATAGTTACCTTGTTTAATTCAGGGATGAGCGAGTGTCTTAAATGGATACATACCGTCATACGACCGAAGGACGATATTTTGCCTCAACCTTGTGGGACGGTGAGGCTTGTGATGACACTGTGATGAAGTTTTGGTTGGAGACGGAAGTGTTTACAGTATAGACTATGTCGGAAGGGATACTGGACTGAGAGTGTTCACCACAGCATACAAATTATGCGGCAGGCCTCTCACTTACCACAGACAGAGCAAAACACGCACGTACGCACGCACACCTCCCTGTTAGAACATGGCCAACGTTGAAGCCGCGAAACGTTTGAGGGTGGACGTTCACATGTTGAGTAGGCGGGGGAATTACAGCTGCCGAAGGTACACCAACAAGCCAAAATACTGCTTACAAATATGCGTAAAGGAAAGAGTTAATGACATACCTACCCATTTATAAGACCTATTACCAATAGCAGCAACAAAACCTGCCAACTGTTGAATCGACCAGTCAATCACACATATATGTACCACATTTTCAGCCAAACTGGTCATTTATTTGTTAACTCACTACAACGTTTACCCATGGATATTATAATATTCAGGTGACATTTGAGGCGTCGTCCGCGATGAGTTTCTGCAGTTGTGTGTCCACCTGCTGTACAAATGCAGGGAAGCTAGGGTCTGTGAGACACAGTCGGATCACTGTCTTGATCTCCTCGGGCGGGAAGTCACAGTGCTGGTACGCAACAGGCAGTCTCGCCTTCAAATGTCCGGACACGACCTGTAAAAGTAGCTCAAGAATAAAAGCAACACCAATTTCTTACCCGCCATTTCGTTTTGACTATCGTGATTCATAACGACCTTTTCACATTTAATACATTAGAGCCAGCACCTTTTTCAAGCCACAATAGAACATGACTCTATGTTATTATTTAAGTACGACTAGAATATTTTACAATCTTTTTTTTCTGGGAACAGTGAAAATTGAAATATTTAGATTTACTTTAATTATAAAACATTTCAATTCAAGTAGTTAATATGTGGATAAATCGTAATATTCACACTTAAAGGGAGACTAAGCGCGGGCAAATTGGCAGTCCCAGTAATTTCGATCTTAAGTCCTCAAACGCCACCTTGTTTGTCTTCTTAGGCAATTTTTCTTGTGTGTATGATAGTTTGTGATTACCTGAATTACAATCAATTGATCAAAGTACCTCTTCAAGACCCCTGATATTATTTGTGAATAACAGCTTATATTGCACTGTTAAGTAGAGCACGTCATCAATGAAACTGCTTACCTAAACGTGATTATGGACAGTGACATGGGACTTATACTTAAAACAAGGAAACATGCGATATGAATTTATTAATTCTATCTGGGTTGTGCTAATGATGATATTCAGGTTTCACCCAACTTCAAGGGCTATTTTGGAAACAGGTGTATTAATAATGGAGGCAACGACATATTGGCGAATAACGGGATCGGGTGGTCACAAATCACTAATCTTAGGATTAAATAAATACAGCTCATCCACATGCATTTCAAACAACATGCAGTCATGCTATCAAGAAAGGTGGGTTACAATGTGGTGGAAGTTAGCGATAGTTTCGTAACCGTACATACTACATTTGACAATTATGTAAATCGGTGTAAAACGTTGGCACTCAGAAACTGTGTTAGAAACAGGCAAAGAAATCCTAAACTGTTGTCATATATTTGCGACTTAATAAACCTTAGCGCTAAGAATGACACACCGAATTGAGATCGAGCTACAGTTGCTTTGTGAAAGGGGCGTAACTTAAGACTAATTAGGGGGGCACAGGCGGCCCAGTCGGCTAAGGCGCCACGATTCGCTGTGCAGAGTTGCGTCCCTTGGGTACGGAAGAAACCTATGATTGTGGGTTCGAATCCCGGTTCGCCCCGATTATGTTTCTAGGTTTGTCAGAACCATACCCGTGCTCGTGGGTTTCACCGATGTAGTAAACGTCTGAGACCTTCATCACATCCTCCCACATTAAGCTGACACGCCGTGATATAACTGGAATACTGTTAAAAGCGGCGTTAAACCCAACTCACTCAGACTGCTTATTACCTTAGTTGTTATATCTAACGTTAGCTGTCTTCAAATAACTCATCTGCAATCATCCAAAAAAATTGGTGGTGGGAACCCCCTAAACCCGTACCTCATCAGTAATTGCGAAATTCGATGTTCATGTCAATTACTGAATTGTCTCGTCCACACTCGGTTGTTTACAGGCCGCCCTCATATGGGTGGATTATTGCTGAGTGTGGCGTTCAAAACAAAAAAAAACAGATAAAACTGAACTATATTACTTTATTGATATCGGCTCTACGTCCCCTGGGGATAATTACTGAAGATATTGGCCAAGAGTAACCTCCACCTCAGACTCAACCTGTCATGCCCTAGCTAGCTGTTACGCCCCTTAACCAGCTTTTGACGATTTTCACCAGTCATTTATCAGGAGTAACCTTCACGTGGGAGTTACATGTACCCCTTGCCTGATCTTATTTACTAATAGTAACCTCCCCTTGAAAGAGATCTCTTGCGTGCTTCTTGTTAAAGCATTCATATGACCCGTATTATAAGGATTCTCACCTGAGCCATTTTACCAAGAGTGACCTCCCCTTGAATGAGCTCTACCTGTGTCCTCTGCGGACTGACAGCGTCTTTCGACTTCTCCTGCAGTATATAATGAACAAATTAGACATAATGTAAGGTCTTCAATCACACCAGCTGATGATTTTTTTCACATACATTAAACATACATCAGATGCCGATACGTTATTATTTTGGCTGAGAGGTCAGGGCCCCGTTCCACAAAGCGATCGTAGCGCAACGACTCTGTCGTAAGTCTATGTTAAAGTATAGGAGTTACGGTCGCCTTAGCGCTCCGTTCGCCTTATGGAACGGGGCCCTGGACCCTCCGTGCCACTACGATGCCGATGTTGACCTTGACCACTGGCTGATGTCAGTCAAAGTCTACCTCCCCGACGTATATGGGATGTGCATAAGGTAGAAAATCTCCAACTTACGTTTGTGCTTGTGATCTCCATACTTTTGGTTGTTTGACTATCCATCTTAACAGGGAAGAATTTGGACAGTTTTTCTGCACAAACTGCACATTGCTTTTCAGCTGTTCTCCCATCACATCCATAAAACTTCAGTCGAAATCGTCTTGTTTCATTCTATCAGCAGAATAAATTAAACGGACGGGATCAAGATTAGGGAGACCTTTATGAAATACACTGTATACCAAATTCATTAAATTTTAATTGTTTAAATAACCAGCATATAGAAAAAAGAGTCATCAATGGAACGATTTAAATTGAAATGATACAAAAGTATTATTTCTGTATTCTCTTACACGTTTGTAATACAATCATTCTTCGATACCAAAGATTCTGCACTTTCTGTAAGAGACGGGGGTCAACATTTTACGACGCTTCAGACAACCGCGTCTTCGTGTGTGTGTGTGTGGCTAGTATACATATACTAGCATATGCCAAATGCCAATGTGTGTACGTTCTTTGCGAGATAGCCCACCATGGTCTTGTGTTCACTATGTTTTTTGTTTTTCTATGTCGCTCCCTATATTATTTATTTTAACTTAATTATGTTTTTAATTCAAATTTGATTGCACTGATAGAGAAATAACGGGAATAATGACGATGTAAGAGCTTACTGCCACTTTATACATGAGCAGCATGCTGTCCCTCTTCGTCATCCCCCGCATCCAGGCCCGGGCTGTCACCAAACTGTGACTCTCCTGAATTGCAAAACATAAGGAATGCACGAATACGGATGTATGAACAACTAGAGTGAAGACAAACACAAGGATTTATCTGTTTCCATACTTGCAGTACAATAAAGGATAGCTGAAACCATGCGTGGCTTTGCCAGCTTACCATAACGGTTGTGCTCCGACACAGGACGAGGTGGCTGGAATCTGTGAGAGTCAATACAAGATCACCGTCGTTGTCATCGTATTGCTACAAACGGCATAAACATTTAGTTTCACATAAAGTCTCTGAAAGACACAAGCATAGACAGTATTACTATGGGAATATTTTAACATTTGTTTCTAATTGATAACTGATATTTCGCGAGGCTAACAGCATTTTTTTGTGAAAAATAAAATGGCAAGGTGGCTTTCAAGTTATTCCGTATTATTTTGACTGAGGTGACCCTCCTTTGGGATTGGCGTATGTGAATAACGCACCTGCCACTGTCCTTTTCCCGGTGCACTTGGAGTTGTCAGGTACCTGGCGTATTTCTCGATTTTCCACACTTCAGACATGTCTTTGAGCTATGTGTAATAATACCGAGCTAAGACTAGGTTCTATTTGTTTCAATGAACCTGTCAAGCCACTGAAGATTCGCTATGAGGCCAGTCGGTGTGCCCAGTGCCTACATATAAAATTGTTAAAAAATGACACCCATCTGATATTGATTTGATACATGTGGAGCAGATAAATAAATATATCATTCAACAAAAACCTTTATTTATGCATGACCTAACCCTTCAGTATAATACATATTAAATCCAACATAACAGAAACACGTCCATGTCATTAACGTCCATTAGTAGGACAGTATTAAGGCCTGCATTGAAATATTTACACTTTTGTTTGTCAATCTAGAAGCTGTAACGATAAGTTTGGGGGCATCATCGAGAAACCTGTGTCATGTGTTCTGTCTGATTAGATTTATATATCCCCACTGTTCAGTAGAAAGACAATGAATGTGTGCACAAATATGTAATGTTTTCATTTACAAAAAAACATATTATTGGTATGAGGCACTGTCTTACTATATATTCCCTATTTCATATGAATAAATAGATGAATTGAAATCACAAATTCGATTTTAAGATATCATAAAATGAATTATTTATATCACTACCGAATTTGATTTTATGATTTTACTTCACACATTTGGTTTTATATGATAAAATACAATATATCACAAAATACATATATCTAAAGATCGAATTTCTAATGGCACTAAATATGTTATTATATGATAAAATCGAATTTATGATACGAATAATTCATTCTGTGACATTAATTGATCTAAAATGTTTATAAGTATCATAAAATGGGAACTAAATCGCTAAACTTATAATTTTACTTATCGCCGTGTTGTATGTTTTCGGACACATAAGAAACATTCGTAGTTTTCTCGCTAATCACACGAACAACTGTGAAACTTATTTATAAAAGACAACTATATATCTTAAAAACAAGTCATCATATGACTATTTACAATAGTCTGTGTGACGCCACATCCCTCGTTATAGTGCGAGTAATATATATACAGAAATTAAGTTATATGGCACATCTTTGTTTTATTAAATGGCAAAATGTCTTGAAATATTGTATTAATAGATCTAGTGCACATAAAAGCACAAATAAATATGCATGATATAGACGTAACAGAAAACAATTGGTATAGATTTAAGGCCTGGAAGCCTTCACGTTATTCTTCCTCAATACGTTTAAATGTTGTTTTTTATTGTTGGATTTTCATCGGCCCTTTGGCATCAGTTATTCATGGACATGGCACATTGACATTCCTTCAAGTCCGAACGAAAACACTGCATGAACACTTGGGCTTTCTTGAACTCTCTCTAATCCCATTGACTTTCCCTTTGTGACAAACTATTTACGTTTAAAATCATGATGGTTTGGCCATTACATAGATATATGAGATGAACACATTTGTTCCATCCACATGTATGGCCACAAAAATGAAGGCCAAGCTGGAAACAAAATATACTCGAGCAGACGATTTTCGAGTAGCCTTGTGAACTATCGGCCACCCAGCACACAACTAACTACATCTGCTGACTGCCTTTGTGCCATGGGGGCCATACATGATATATGACCTACTGTTTGTATAGAGTAACTGAAGTTAACTATGACATGCCATGGGAAAAACACAGAAGTTATTCCCGATTTCCAGTTAATGATCTCGACATTGCGTCAGTGAAGTAAATATTTTGTGTTGTATTCCTAAACACTTATTGTATCTTATAAGAGCATGTAACGATTTTTTCTTTTGAAAATTAATATAGTTGAATCCATTAATTTTATTATTGATAATGGAGATTGTTTAAGTAAATAAGTCATATGGAACTGTGTGTTCTGGGAATAATTCATAGAAGACAAACGAAAAACACAGTACATATTGTATTAGTTTGTAAAAGCGTACTATATTTCTGACGTCATCATTTTATGCGGTCTTACTTTCAATATGGCAGCTCCCTGTCCTGTCAAAATGACATAGATTCGAAGCTAGAAGTTGTTATCTGTGAAACAGGAAGTTGTGTTTGCAATATAGACACTAAACATGGAGAGTGCGACCGAGAGTGCAGATTCGTCGCCTCGGGTAAGCGTTGTACACGAAAGAGAAGTCCATGATTTTATTATCGTGAAATAACCATATATCCTTGGCCATTTCATGAAGATTCTGTTGTAACCTTTGAGCTTGATTTGTTCATCCTCAGAACGTACTGGGTTTTTGTTCATCACACGTTCATGAACTTGAATTAATAGCCACCATTTAAACGTTTCACATTTTGTACTACTTATGGCAATATTTCCATATTTACCAGTTCTATATATATACGTGGTACCCAGCAGGTAACGTAATTTCCTTATTTCGATTTCATCTTTTTTTGTGGGACTTTCAACACCCAAAAGTTAAATTCGTAACCAAACCAATTCGTATCCATAGAGAATTGGAAGCCACAACCAACCAGAGAAATTGATAGATTACTTATTTATAATAGTAGTTACAAAGGAATCTGCAAATCCTTTTTCAAACAAATTAATTATATGTCCATCAACTCCACCCAACATCCACCACTTACCAAATTAACTTCTTGTCTTTCTCAGCTTATATATATTTATCAAATTGTTTATTTATAACAATGGGTCCTGCAAAGAAAATACTAAAACCTACCATATTTTTATTAAGCACTTTATCATGTTTATTCACAAAAGAACCTGCTGAAAACACCAAGAAACTTACACATAAGCATGATAAGTGAAAGACAAGGATAGTAATTATCATTCAATTCCAATATAAAAAATGTGTCTTCAAATTCCCTCCAGGTTTGTCTAAGAATTCATTGTAAATTGTGTCTACGAGTTGGTAGTATCTATGATTTCACCGCATCCCTGCTGTTACTTAGTCAAATATTAGAGCCCGTGTGGACAGTTATTGAATCAAAGTGTTCTGTAAAAATATAAGGTAAAAACACATAATGTTTTGTGACACTGTGAGATGAACTATATAATACGAAATATAACCACTTGACAGGCAAGGTCTTTGTCAAAGGCCTTATGCTCAAACTCTTAGGTTACTCAGTTTTAATCTGCAAGTATACCAGCTTTTATATTATACAATGATATATTCTATTACATTACACTTAAAAATATTATGAACATTTATTTTAAGATGAACAGAGCCTATGTTCACAGTCTGCCATCAGACTACAGTGATGTCCAGTCAAACAGCTACGATCCAGATTTCATATCAGATATTAGCAACAAGATGCAAGTGCCAGACCGTATAGCTCTGGGAGGAGCATATAACGGCCATGTTGGACCCACTGGAAACCCTGCTTCGGAACACATGATGGTGCCGGACAGGATTATACTGGCAGGTAAGGCCAAGAAGAAAGGACTTGTATAAATTGTCACATCTGCAATATAGCTTCAAGTACTCACATTGTAATTGATACTGATAGTGTTTGAAATTGACTGAGATTTTATCATTGATTACAACTAGTTTGTTCCACATCTTTCCAGGGATCACTCCAGGGATTTATCTAGGGTTCCCAACAAAGTGCCCTTAGCAGACAAATTGGGAAAGAATCATGATATTGTTCAAAATTGGATTTTTTTAATTGTTTCTATTTTCATAAATTCTGAGGTATTGGGACATTTTTAATTCAAAATAGTATTTTTATTGTCATTTGCTGCAGATTTGGGTCCGAATAACGACCTCTGAGCAGGTCTAGATAAATCTCCCACATGAATTTAGTTAACAATGTCAATGCAGTGTATGTGACTTTTATGAAGTATGAATTGTCGTCAATATATTTTACTCACATGAATAAGTTAAAGAGTGAAAACTGAAAAAACTAGTTTTTTCTCTTTTACATTTTTCAGCCTCGGTCAAACATGCTCAATATTTAAGGACTTGATAGGACTAGTCAAAATGAATACATCAAAATAATTTATGACTGGAGCATCTCAGGAGATTTTCCAATTTGGATAAGCATATTAAGAATTACCCTTTGTGGCTTAGATCCTTACTTGACTTTCTGTCACTGAGTTGAATTTGTTAAATATGATGACACACAGTCATAATGACATCATCAAGTTGTTCCTGCTTCTTGTGCATATTGATTTTACTTTTAGGATTCCTGTGCATGTCCATGGCTATAACTTGCCAGGATCCATGCATCGTTTGTTGTTGCTGTTCAATGCTGTCATGACCAATGTCTCGCGCTGTCTGGGTGTGATGACACACAACTTAGACACAGAGTCTCACCAGTCATTATTCAATGTCATCTCTTGCAACCACCATAAGTTGTTTGGGACCATTTCTAATCCTGAATCCCCACTGAGCCCTTTAAATATGTGTTGGGATATGTGGCAACACTGTCTGTATCGTATGAAGCAGGATAGTATCTAGATTGGTTTCAATTCTCAGCTGTGCTGTCATCATACCTACCTAAGTACCATTCATATTAATGTTCACACTACAAACACCATGAAGATCAGGTTAGAATTTGTCTTGAGGCGACTAAGGGGATTGGGTGGTCAGACTCATTAACTTTGTTGATGCATGTCATCATGTCCGAATTACAGAGATTGATGCTCATGGTGTCCAGACTCGGTTTTTTACAGACCACCGTCACAGCTGGAATATTGCTGAGTGAATGAAGACCCACAAACACTGTTTTTCCAGCCTTGGTAATGATATGACTGTTGATGACTGTCACATTGTTACATTGCTTTGTTTGTCACTGCTGTCTATGATGAAATTGTTTTTGAAATTTGAATGGCAGGAGGAGATACACACATCGGCATGAAGGAGGCGCTTCGACCTCTTGCCTTTGATCGTGTCCCGGACAGTGAGAGCTTGTCCTATGTTGGGCTGATCACCCCACCCAGAACACTGACTCTGGAGGAGAGATTCCCGACCGTGGAGGATGTGGAAACACGCAGAGCTAATACTGATATGGTAGCCAAGCCAGAAGCTAATGGGTGAGGAGGACTGGGCCATTTCGTTGATGTTTGGCTATCACACATTTTGCCATGTTTTTCAGTTGTCATACCTAATGTCTGACAATGTTTTGTATCAATTACCTTTATTGATCTTTGGTGATTTGAACCACTTTTACTATTAGGGAGATGGTTACTCTGCAGCAGATCATTTACTGGACTGGTAAAGACATATGTAATTTCTGTTACCGGACAGGGATGAACAATCTGTGAGACCTTTGAGGATATTTTGAAATAGATCCTGTAGCATCCTGCTTTTTAAAGTATTTTTTTAACACTGATTATTGGGGAAACAACTGTTGTGTGATCAGTGGAAATGTCAAGTATGTATTTAAGATTTGTTTCCTGTTTATGACAACAATTTGAAGAATGATCTCCAAAGCAGAGAAACTTGGTAAAAATAATTCTTATCATTATTTATGGAATATTGTATAGTTCAGCCTGGAACATGTGTTTTAGGGTATTTGTTACATAGCATCTATAATCATATCTAAATACCTAAACAAGTCTATTTCTGTTTATATCAAGTAAATATTAATGTCAGCAATATGTGATCTGTTACACCATATACCAGCAGTAAAGTTAGGTGGTCATTATTCCATCACAACTTGAGTCGAGTCCAAAGCTAACCTGGACCAATCTGTTTCCATTACAGGATGGGCCCAGTGCCGTACACTCCAGGAGTGTCACCCTACGAGTCGCTGCTCCTCAATGAAGAAGATGAAGCCACTCTATTACGAACCCAAGTTTCTAAACTGACCCGTCGACTGACTGTCATGGAGCAGGACAACCAGCGGCGATCTCAGCGCGAAATTTTTCTGTACCCTGCTGTGTTTGGCTATCTCCTGTTTCGAGTATTTTTCTGGTTCATGAGAAATAGATGAAACCAGATACCTCCTCTCAGACTGACTTTTCAGATATATTACAGGATGTTATCTTTTCCTCAATTATTTCTTACAGTTCACCTGAGGGAACATTCTAGTTGATATTCTGGGAGAGCCCAGATATTAAGGGCCAGATGTATTACTCTAGTAATCTTCAGAATGACAACTTGTGACAATGTGTACAATGTGTACAATGATTGATACCACTGCACACCATATCACTACATGTGTTTATGAACATGGCAGGAACTCATTTATCCAGGACATTGCTGTACATAGTCATGCTGTTTTCTGTAGCTACTTCCCATGAAATACAGGTATATCTAACGTGTGACATCAGTAACTGACAGTACACTATTGGAACATCAAGCTATGGTACAATGGAACCCTGCTTATCAGGACGCCTCTTTTCTAGAATTCATCCGTTTAACTGAATATCTTGATATCTGAATATGTCTTGAGTTACTTTCATCACGTTCATGCCTACGTAGCTTCAGACCACACATCCGGAACAAAGAAGGGTTGCTTTATTGTAATTGTGGTCGTCAGTTAGCACGGTTTCTTGTTTTAGCATGTTAGAAAACACGAGAATGTATGCAAGTTTGGTCTGAAATTTGGGTTAAGACATCAGATGTGATCTTTATGACATGGAAGTCATATGCGCATTGAAGAGGTTGTTGATTGTCTGGATGAATGACCCAGTTTTATATGTAAGTAAAACACCATTTTGGTCACATATATGACTGTTCGGAGTGAAATATGACTATGTTAGCAATTTTATGATATCCACGTTTTGTTTTCAATGAATAGTGTACCAGAGGCTGGTTTTCTCTTTGTCCACATTAGTGGGGTCCCACTGTAACATGTTCTTCAGAACTGTTAAGAATACTGGTCCCTGGTCAAACACCCAAACCCTAAAAACCAATCTCTGTTCTTTATTTCAATCTAATGGTACTACTGGGTGATGTCCTGGGACCTGTGAAATATTCTATCATTATGCAGGTTACAGAGTTCACTGACAGGCTACTACACTGACCAACTGACATCTACATCATATAGGGGAGGTGAGGTGAAATTGGGTTTAACGTCGCGTCCAAGATTATTGCACTTGTATAGCGACGTTCATGCACGTGTGTGTGTGGCTGCTTGTACTAGTCCGGACTGATGCAAATTTATAGTGCTAGCTCACTGAGATACCATGCTGCAGTTTAACATGAATACCCCACTCAGACACAGTATACTGACTCTGAGCCGACCAGTCCTTGTTTTAACCCTTAATGTCGAGTGCCAGACAGGGTAACAACAAGTACCATCTTTTTAACGTCTTAGGTATGACGCGGCCAGGGATCAAACCCTGGACCTTCAGCTCTCTTGGGCGGACGCTCTACCACTAGACCACAGAGAATTTAGAACAAACTTGTGCAAATCCTCAACATGCTACAGGGGCGGTTGGGTAGCCTAGTGGTTAAAGCATTCGCTTGTCACGCCCAAGAACCGGGTTCGATTCCCGACATGGGTACAATGCGTGAAGACCATTTCTGATATTGCTAAAAGCGGCATAAAACCATACTCACTCACTCAACATGTTACAGACCTTCATCTTTCCGTCAATGATTTTCTTGTAGTTCAAGAATATGGCTCATTAGCCATTGTCAACCCTACTAAACATATTGGGCATATTCTTTAGAGTTACCAGCTATTAAAGTATCATGTCCCTTTGGTCGACAGTCTTTGGGTATGTGAAAATACATGACATGCAGAGAAGTCACGAATTTGTCATATCTGATTGTTGAGATTTGTTGTAATTGAATTCATCCTAGTTTATCACAGTACGTCTGTATCACACGTACCTCATCTCATCAGCATCTGATCAGTTCAGCTAGAGGTATGTCTTAACAGACTAGCCAGTGTGTAGTTTTCTTTGGATTATCAGTGAATGATATTGTCACTGTAGTAACTGCTGGGTACTGGGGGATAATATATATTGAACAATGATAGAACTCATCCCAACCGACATACAGCTTTATTTACCCTGTGTGTAACCAAGCGATAGGTTTCATCCTCATGACATGCCTGTCCTAAAGACGTGAAAGAGAAAGTCCTGATAAGCATGACATTTTACAGCCAAATGTTTCTTCTATGATATATGATTAAATATTGCCTACATGTCTATCCTGATATTCCTGGTGCTGACCTATAAATCAACGAGAACACATGACTGACATGTGAACCAATAAGAACATATGACTCACTTGTGAACCAGCGATAACAGATGACTAACATGTGAACCAACAATAACTGATGACTGACATGTGAACCAACAATAACAGATGACTGACGTGAACTAATGATAAAAGATGACTGGCATGTGCACCAACAGTAACAGATGACTGGCATGTGAACCAACAATAACAGATGACTGACATGTGAACCAACAATTACAGATGACCGACAGGTGAACCAACAATAACAGGTGACTGACATGTGAACCAACAATAACAGATGACTGACATGTGAACCAACAGTAACAGATGACTGACATGTGAACCAACAATAACAGATGACCGACATGTGCACCAACAGTAACAGATGACTGGCTTGTGAACCAATGATAACATATGACTCACTTGTGAACCAATGATAACAGATGACTGACATGTGAACCAACAATAACAGGTGACTGACATGTGAACCAACAATAACAGGTGACTGACATGTGAACCAACAGTAACAGATGACTGACATGTGAACCAACAATAACAGATGACTGACATGTGAACCAACAATAACAGATGACCTACAGGTGAACCAACAATAACAGGTGACTGACATGTGAACCAACAATAACAGATGACTGACATGTGAACCAACAGTAACAGATGACTGACATGTGAACCAACAATTACAGATGACCGACATGTGCACCAACAGTAACAGATGACTGGCTTGTGAACCAATGATAACATATGACTCACTTGTGAACCAATGATAACATATGACTCACTTGTGAACCAATGATAACAGATGACTGACATGTGAACCAACAATAACAGATGACTGACATGTGAACCAACAATAACAGGTGACTGACATGGGAACCAACAATATCAGATGACTGACATGTGAACCAACAATTACAGATGACTGACATGTGAACCAACAGTAACAGATGACAGGCTTGTGAACCAATGATAACATATGACTCACTTGTGAACCAATGATAACAGATGACTGACATGTGAACCAACAATAACAGGTGACTGACATGTGAACCAACAATAACAGATGACTGACATGTGAACCAACAATTACAGATGACCGACATGTGCACCAACAGTAACAGATGACTGACATGTGAAACAATGATAACAGATGACTGACATGTGAAACAATAACAGATGACTGACATGTGAAACAACAATAACAGATGACTGACATGTGAACCAGTGATAACAGATGACTGACATGTGAACCAACAATAACAGATGACTGACATGTGAAATAATGATAACAGATGACTAACATTTATCAGACATCAGGGGACTTCTCACTACCTCATATTGTTACGTTACTTTTTATAATATACACAGACATGAACACACACTAAGACACACACACACAGATTGGCACTAACACACACTAATAACATAATAGCCATAATGGATGTATCCTAGATGGATATTGACAAACAGCATTATTTGCTCAGCATGTAGATTGCAAGAACAGGTTAGATTTATATATCAACAATTGTTTAATTTTGTTTTCTAATTTTTGTGAAAATATATTAGAAGAGTTGTCATACTATTTTTCTACATTTATTTTTCATTACATAAAAATTGCACTTGCAATCTTTGAGGCTGCCCCATGGAGCTTGCCACTAATGACTAACCCTCAAACAGCTACATAGTTGTATTGATTGTAAAAGGGTTAAGTGTACCCAGGGATGTGTCACCTGCATGTGTTGCATGTGTTAGACCTCACAGCTGATCCAGCAGATTGTGGGCTCAAATCTAAGACTTTGATGCATCTTATGGGTTTCACCATTTGAAGTGGCAATTCTAATACCTGCATCACTTTGGGCTTTCCTCCCACATTGAGATGACACCATGTGAACAGAAAAGAGGTTTCAACTCGTTCAATCAAAACCTCAATCACTTGTCAACAAGTACAAGAGGTTCTCTCTGATGAGTTACTGTTATAGTGCTGGTACTACCATCTCAGCAATGTTAATTAAATATTAGAATGTGTTTTCTTCACTACTGGTCAGGACATAGTGGTATGTAGGTGTTGTCAGTTTCATCCCGCTAACTGTTAACATGTCAGCGCTGGAACGGCACCTGATGCCAAACAACAACATAACAGTGAGACTCTGTCACCATGCTAATATTCTTGTCTCAACAAACGTCTTGAAGAATGTGCCACAGCTTGATCATGAATTCTGGATGTAGGATTTTCATTTACATGTTTTGAGTGGAAGTGTTTTTATGACTTTTAAACGCTCCCTTATATTTCCATATTTTTGACAGTCAAATATTTTGCTAATTTGATACTAGTCATTAGACTGTTGAGAAATCTTGATCATTCCTCATTCCATGGGTAGTCTTTTCATGTACAGTGTAACTCCCCAGCTGTAAGAGTTTGTTTTCAGCATTGCTGTGTCAAGTGCCATGTCCTCAACCATGTGTATATATGAAGACTCAATATGCATGCGTCACAGATAGTGTAAAAAAATAACATCATCTTTGCCTTGCTAATTATAGCTTTTTTCATTTGTACATCAATTGTAACTCAGTGATATATATATATGTGTTATGATTATTTATAATTTTTTAGCTGACCATATTTCTAAATCATAATTACAGCATATTTACTTCTGCTGTTCCACAGTGAAGACATTCATTCGTGTAACTGTAGTTGTCTCCCCTTGATACAGAGGAAACCACGTCAGAAGTAGATGCACAGATGTACACAGAAAATATCTTAGGGAGTTCAACATGGACCAGACATGCTCTTTGTGCTATAATTGTCTGCAGTGTCATGGCGACATGAAATGTCTTCATACTAAGATTAAATAAAATGTCACCATCACATAATATAATTATACAAATTATTCAAAAATATTGACTAAGATTTTTTCAGTGTTACTTAACCATGTCCTTGTTCAGGGCCAATAGTGGTGAAAGTGTGGCCCACACTGGATGTAATATACATACAACATGTACAAGACTAAGGAAAGACGTACACATTTTCTATACATGTAACTGCATTTGTTGATGTGATTGTCTTGTATGTGTTGTTGCCTTGAATAAACCTAACTCATCTCTGCCCTGGTACTGTTGTGTCTGACATACCACAGGGTCTCCACGGGTTTGTCTGGAATACTGCAGGGTACGGCTGGGACGGGTATCTCAGGTACTCATGTCACAGACTGTGCTGTTGTGTCTGGCAAACCACACTGTGCTGTTGTGTCTGACTAACCTGGAGTCTGTGCTGTTGTGTCTGACTAACCTGGAGTCTGTGCTGTTGTGTCTGGCAAACCATACTCTGCTGTTGTGTCTGACTAACCTGGAGTCTGTGCTGTTGTGTCTGGCAAACCATACTGTGCTGTTGTGTCTGACTAACCTGGAGTCTGTGCTGTTGTGTCTGGCAAACCATACTGTGCTGTTGTGTCTGACTAACCTGGAGTCTGTGCTGTTGTGTATGGCAAACCATACTCTGCTGTTGTGTCTGACTAACCTGGAGTCTGTGCTGTTGTGTCTGGCAAACCATACTGTGCTGTTGTGTCTGACTAACCTGGAGTCTGTGCTGTTGTGTCTGGCAAACCATACTGTGCTGTTGTGTCTGACTAACCTGGAGTCTGTGCTGTTGTGTCTGACAAACCATACTGTGCTGTTGTGTCTGACCAACCTGGAGTCTGTGCTGTTGTGTCTGGCAAACCATACTGTTCTGTTGTGTCTGACTAACCTGGAGTCTGTGCTGTTGTGTCTGACAAACCTTACTGTGCTGTTGTGTCTGACTAACCTGGAGTCCGTGCTGTTGTGTCTGACTAACCTGGAGTATGTGCTGTTGTGTCTGGCAAACCACACTGTGCTGTTGTGACTGGCAAACCAAACTGTGCTGTTGTGTCTGGCCAACCAGTCTGTGACGTGTCTGGCCAACCAGTGTCTGACCTACCAGTGTCTG